CGGCCCTAATGATCACTTCTATAATTAAAAACCCCAGAATTTAAAGCATTAACTTCAGTTACTCAAAATAAAGCATCTGATACCCGCAAGCTGGTGCAAGAGCCAGGGGTTCGATCCCTGGGCCTGATGTGTGGCCCCGTCCCTGCCCTCAGGGAGCACTGAGACAGGGATTGACACTGGGCATGGTGCTACATGCCTGCAATCCCAGCTCTTGGGAGGCTGTAAACAGGCAGATCACTATGAGTTAATCTAGCAGTGAGACCCTGAACACCCTGTAGATCCTTCCCTAAAATACAAAAATAAATAAATAAATAAAATAAAGCATCTGAATCTTAATTTCAGAAACATATTTTTAAGAAATTCCATTGTCTGTTAATATATTCTTAATATTCTGTTAAAAAAGGCAGCAGAACAGGACTCAAAATAACCAAGAAAAAACTTTGTACCATTTGGCTCCTGTTATTTTCAATGTATAGCTCTCGACTAAATGTCACTTATGCGAAAATATTCATATATCATTCTGTCAATAATGACATGGGATTCTATTAGTTTCCAGAAGCAAGGTCCTAAACATTACAAATGCTTCTGGTAGCATTCCTACATGTGTTCCTACCTCTGGCAAATGTGTGTTCTAAAACTCGTACTGTGACTGTCTAAGGTATCTTTTCAAAACAAAAACAAACAATAAAACTCATTAGACCACCCAAAAATTTAAAGCCCCAATGATCTGTATTATGCATTATCATTTGTATATAACATTTTAATAACAAAAAACAATTTTAAGAAATAAAACATTACATATTTAAATTATCTGTACATCAGATTACTTCCTCAAATATGTTACCAGAACTCACACATGAATGTCATAAAAATATGGAAAAGTATCATATTTAAATTTTACCTTAATTTTAAGTTGAAATAAGGCATAAGCAAAAACACAACATGTACATATGGAAACTGATCACTGAAAGATGCTACTTCATATAATATAAGATTTAATATATAAATTACATGTCATTTCATCAGCTGTTTAGTCACATCAGTCTAAATTTTACATTATATATTAAAGTACTAAAAACCTAGAAAATCATTGCAATATAATACAATGTGGGAAAATACATATCTATGGCTTTATACACAATCTAAATTAATTCATTCTTTACAATTGTTTTTCAAATATAAATCATACTTTACATGCAGTAGAACATACCAGCTGGATGTCCTCATATATAGGAAAATAAACAGAAAAATACACTTTTAACAAGATAGCTGCATACAGAGGCAGAATGTAAAATAAGATTTTGCCTTAACACAATCTTGAATAAGATTTAAGAAACATGAAAAAAGACACTTTATACTATTTGTAATTAGCAGTTTTAAAAAATATCTGTGGTAGTTTTCTAATTTTCTAATTGTATCACAGAATATAAAAGGAAAAAGAGAAAAACAGAAAACCTGATTCTTTATGAATTTTACACATCAGCTCTGCCTATGGGTTGCATTTAGGCTACTTTTCTGTTGACAGTTTCCTAAATTGCTTCTGCCACTCTGAATTGTGCATCAGCAGTCAGATGAGTTTTTCAGGTTTCATTATGCCATTGTGTAACCATAGCTGCCACAGTGCAGTGCCACCAGGAGTCTGTCCTTTAGTATTTCTTTGCTTGGGTATTCAGGTAATTTGAGCATGTTGATGCTTTAAAAATAATATATGCCATCATTAAACAGAAAATCTATGAAATTTCTGATTGTTTTATCTAGTAATGAAAAAACTCGTAATTAACATAAAACTACTTTTCCAAATTTGCATTCAAATTGGAAAACCCTGAAGTAGTATTTAAAAAGGGGAAAAATACTGCATTGCACTTTCAGCATGCAAATGTAGTGGAAGAAAATAAGTTGCTTTCAGCTTAAAATAAGTAATAGGGCAATTTAGCTTGACGTGATGGTATAACTCAATAATATTTACAACTGTAACTTTAGTGATTCTTGAACCACATTCAATTAAATTTTGGGTAGGTGAGGTTTTCCCCAAATATTTTCCCTACCAAAAAAGAAGGAGCAAAAATTTTAACGTACTTATCCATCCGAAATGCTGATTAGAGAACATAACTGACATCTTTAGCTATAAAGTAGTTTGACCTGTGTTCATTGAAAATTAACCCAAACAATTCAAGATGCATTTACATAAACTAACTTACCAGGTGCTTGAAGTTGGTAAAAGATTTGGAGTATATGGCACAGCAGCAATTGTAAAGTTTTGCAATCCACTTCCACCCATGATATTAGCAAAACCACCATGGGGGACCCTGGAACTAAGAGTTTATATCTTAATTTAACATTGTGAAAGGAAAAATCTTTGACAGCTACATTTCAATTTCTAAGTCAGGATTAAAATATACTTAACTTGAACAATGACAAGATGACATTTTGGATTCTGCAAAACTCCCCACGCATTCATGCTGTGTCCTGACCAGTTAGCAGGCTTCCACAGACATACACCTCCACACTGCCATCAGCCATGTTACTCTGGACTGGCTCAGGACCTCCTCTACTTTGTATACAGCACAATGAATTTATACTTATTCATTCCTACAGAACTAGTGTGCTTCCCTACTGAGCTAGAACTGACTTCATGGCCCCAACATGTCATATTTATCTCTGTCCTCAAAGGTTAGCAAAATGTCTACCGCCATTAACGATCTGATGAATAAATGAATGATTAGCAACAAAGGCTCTTACATATCATATCCCAAATGGTTTACCCTCTTCATAGAAAATGTCATGGCTCAAAATGCTTTCTGCTCTGGTTTTACCTCTCACAGTGGAAAACTAGAAAAGTCTTTAGATTTCTCTTTCCAGATATTCAGAATATCAAACACACTTTTCTAAATGTCATGTAACAGACCACAGGAAGACCAAAAGTTGATGCCTAATACAACACTAGAAATTGTCACCCTGCGTATAGGGCTGTGGAGGGTGTAACTACAACTTACCGAGCTCTATACATTTGAAAGTAAATTATTATTTCAAACTAGTGTGTTATGTATCAGGACTAAGCAAATCCTGGGGAGAAAACTGGTGCTTTTAAAATGAGGCTGTAGGCTATGGATTTAACTCAATGGGACAGTGCTTATCTAGAGGTGCAAGGCCCTGTGCTCAATCCCCAGGACTGCAAAAAAACAATAATAAAATAAAACAAAGGACCAGCAATATAGCTCAGTGAATTTCACATCTGCTTAGGCAAGCACAGGGACCAGGGTTTGATCCTAGCACCACATACGGCGCTGGCCCCGCCCCCAGGCATGCTGAGCCTGATGAGCCTTAGCAGCAGTATAAATAATCCCAGAGCTCTGGAGGCTGAAAGCAGGAGGATCACTACAAGTTCGAGCTGTATACTGAGACCCTGGATGAATAATTTTAAAAAATAAAAATAAAATATTATGTGGTGCTTTTGGATAAATCTGAATGATGACATGTAAGTATTCTATGTCCAGCTATTAAATACATTTAATAAAAGTATAACTAGAAGTTAAAATGTTTTCTAGCATATAATACAAAGTATAATTCAATCTACTTTTTAAAAATGAAACTAAAAAAAAAATGATGAACCTCACATATCCCAAACGTCATCTCTTAAGTGAATAACAAAGGTGCAAGCACACACATTCTGCTTTTATTTTTTTAACTCACATAGCTCATTAAGTATCTTATTTTGTTCTTTCTTAAAATTAGTATATTTGTGGTACATAATGATCACATTCATCATGTAGAGCTGTTACATATTCTTACTCCTCCAACTCTTGTCCCTTCCCTATTGCAAAAGTTCTAGCTCCGTTTTTACATTTATGACCTAAGTATAGAAATCAAAATGGTACAGTATTAGTATAAAGACATGCAGACAAATGAATAAAAGGCAGCCCAGAAATGATTTCTTGCATCACAGTTAAATCACATTCAACAAGAATGTCAAGAACACTTAATGGGGAAAGGGCAACTTATTCAACAAAGTATGCTGGAAAAACTAGATGGGGGTTGGGCCCTTACTTTCCACTGTATACATAAATGAGCTTAAAATAGATCAAATACCTAAACAAGAGTTAAAATTATAAAACTCTTACAAAAAATACTGAACAGATTCAGGACACTGAATTTGACAATGATTTCATGGCTATAATACCTAAAGCACAGCAACATAGAGAAAACAGAGTTGGCTTTTATCAAAATTAAAAACTTGCCCAATTATAGGACACTATGAATAGAATGAAAAATCAATCAATGGAATGGAAGAAAATATCTGCAAGTCATTGATCTGATAAGGGACTGATATCCAACATATATAAAGAATTCAAACAACAAGAAAATAATCTGAATGAAAAAAAGACCAGAAAACAGCTTTCTCCAGAGATACACAATGGCCAATGGGCACATGAAAAGATGCTCAACATCACTCATCTGGCATGAAATACCAGCCAAAATCGCAATAAAATACCACTTTACATCATTAAGATAATTATTTGTATTAGACAAAAATCTCCAGGAAATAAGTATTGGCAAGAATGAAGAAAATTTGGTAGCAGAAATGGGAAGGACAAGGTCCCAAGTTCAAGACCTGCTACCAAAAAGAATCTGAAATGGAAAGGGTACAACCTCTGTGGAAAACAGTGTGACAGTTCTTAAAAAACTAGAAATAGAAACAATTTCACTTAGGGGTTTACATTCAAAAGAAATGAAGGCAGACAGACAACAAACAGTTGCTAATCATGTTCACAGAACCATCATTCACATTAGCTAAAAGGTAGAAGAAATCCAGGTATCTGTGGGCAAATGAATGGTCTTGAAGAAAATACACTAAATGCAATAAGCCAGTCACCAAAGAACAAGTATTGTACAATTCCCCTTAGATGAGATTCCTAGAGCAGTCAAATTCATAGACATTAAAAAACAAAAGCAAACAAACAAACAAACAAAAAAAAAAAAACAAAAACAGTGCATGGCAGAAACTGGAACAGAAGAAATGGGAAAATAGTCTAAAAGGTTACAAGATTTTAGTTGACAAACATGAAAAATCTAGGAGACAGATAATAGTGATGGTATAAACAACAGGACTATACTTATTGCTACAGAATTACAGACTTTAAAAATGGTGTAAAAAGTAACTTTCATGCTAGTACTATTTACTGCATTCATATACAAAGTCTCAAAAATGGGACAGGACTTTCTATTTTAATCACTGACATGTACATTTAGAAGGAGGGGGAGCTTTCTACTCCATCCAACGTAAGAGAATCCCTAAAAACAGTCATTTTTGGTTTTGGTTTTTTTAGATGGGAAGTAGTCTGACTGCTAATAAATGCTTTACTGATAAAAAAAAATTCTCAATTACTTTAATAATCTCAGTGAATATTAAAGAATCTTTACCAGGCATGGTGGCCCATGCCTGTAGTCCCAGCACTCAGGAAGCTGGGGCAGGGAGATTACTGTGAGTCCAACGCCACCCTGGGCTGAACTACATAGCAGACCCTGTCTCAAAAAATACTAATAAACAAACAAACATAAACACAACACACACACATGCACGTTCTTGAATCTTTCTAACAAAATATGAATGCATAAGTAGCTCCTACTTGGGGAAAGAGAACAGCTGAAGAAGAACTGGATATATATGTTTGTAAACCAAAATAAAATTCACTGTTAGTCTCTGTAAAATTAATCTTTGCCTAAAAAAATCAAGGTTACAAAAATGAAAAGGGAAATAAGTAAGCTATCTTGTATTTTTCTTTTTAAACATTAGAAATTGAACCCATGGGCTCTTGTATGCTAGTCAAGCACTCTACACTACGCCATATATATCCCCAGTCCTGTTTAAAATCTTGTTTTCATATTGTTTTTCACATTCTGTAGGGATTTAAAGTTTAGCATAGCAACGATCGATGGAAAATACCTGTTTCATGTTATGTCTAAGGTGTTTGATATTCAGACAGATAGTGATGTTAAGCTCAACTGCCTATGAATTAGAGAAAAAGAAGGGCTACAAGGATAGCCAACATCTTGGCCCCAGCCATTCAAGGTCAGTGAGGACTAAGGACATAAGAGAACCTGTATTGTAACATCCTGTAACTCAGTGGTGTCCCAAATTTTCTGATCAAGAAGATTATGGGGCCACAGAGGAAAGTGATCGACAATGTAGAGTGTGCCAAAAGAGAGTCACATGGAGAGAAAACATTCTCTGGCTTTCACAGAGAGCAAATTGGGCAAGCAATGGCTGTGACTCATCCACATGGCTAACACTGACAAAAGATCTACAAATTGTTGTACAAGTTTTCAGGGTAAATCTTGAGGGGATTTGACTGACCTCGTCAGATACAAAAGTTACATTTCATGTTACATAGGTCTTGCTTTATCTTCGTCTTAACCATCCAGCAGGAAAGTATAAAAAGAAGGTATAAAAAGTAAAGCCATATTAATATGCTGAGCTGTAAAAGGCTCAATTCAACAACTTCTGACATTGCCAGTTCTGTGGATAACCCACTACTATTATGGACTACTGGACTATATTGGATTACTTTGCTGAATTTACACACCTACAATATCTGAATGACAATGGAATACCCATCTCTGACAAAACTAAAAAGGGGGATATAAATGAAGGACCATTTTGTAGTGAAAAAAAAATTTAAGCTACTTTCTCTTAATTCGATGAGAAGATTTGTACTAATAGTGTTTAGACAAAATATCATATCTGCACCTTATACTATGAATAACTACTACGAAAACAACAATATGTAATGTATTAATTATTGTAACTATCGTACTAACCTGTTTTGAACTGTCTCAATGTTATTTCTCAATAAAATTAATATTAAAAAGTAAAAAATAAAATAAAATAAAATGTTTTGAGATAGGGTCTATGTTGTCGAGGATGTCTTTAAACTTAACAATCCTCCTTCCTGAGCCTCCCAATAGCTAGAATTATAGGTATTAGACCACCAGACATGGCTTGTTCTAAACTTTTTTTATAGAGGTTAAAAAAGAAAAGTAAGTATACCACTTCATTAGGACAAGAAGGCAACAAGAATCACACACTGATTCCTATACAGGATTAGTTCAAGGATCCTACTCCCTTTCCAAAAAATGTGGATGTTCATGCTCTTCTTTAATATAGCAAAGTATTTGCATATTACCTGCATATATTCTCTCATATATTAATATAAGAATATTTTAAAGTATACTTCAAGTATATTTTTATACTTCAAATAAATATAACTTAGTTGTTCTACTCTTGTTTATGCAAAAGTGTCAAAAAAAATCTGTA